ACTCTTCCTTCTTGGGTTTGGGCTTAGGTTTAGTGACAACATTTGTCAATTTCCTTTTGTCCTTACCTTTGGAACGCTTCCTCTTGCTGGAACTCTTTCCAACAACCACCATATCATTCTTCCCTTGGCTCCCACCTTTCTCTTAGAATGACATATTCAACTGATCAACCATCAATGAATTGTCCATGTCATCTAATTGTTCACGCAATTCCGAAGACATCTTTACAAGCATCAAGCTGGACACGTCCAGATCATCATCCTCATGCTTCCAATAAGCATCAATGATCAATCCAGAAGCCGTGGTCAGAGGTTTATCCTTCATAAGGATAGATCGCATCGTGAGATTAACCAGATTCCTGCAACAGATATATACTACAGAAAAGGACAAACAAACAGACAGAAAATATGCAAGTCGCATAGGATGTGATCGACAAAGTGTTGTCTACCTAAATAGCATGGTTTTGAGCGTCATGCTCTAACTGACTCAAAAGCATGTGTAATATGGATCCTAACTCACTTAGAAACTCATTGAGAATGTTTTTCTTAGTGGGAACCTGTCATATTGTATTTACATGCATTCTAACCATTAAAACCATGAAAAACATGCAAAGATCTATAGTCTACATGCATTCTAACAATTAAAATCATGCAAACCTGCAAAGATCTATTGTTTACATGTACTTTAACAATTAAAATCATGCAAACAAGCAACAAGCACAGCTATATACAGAGAACCAGGCTCTGATACCACTGTTGGGCTCCCTGCGGATTCCTAGCATGCGATCTCATCGATCTAGGGTTTGGTTTCTAGGTTTCATGCAGCGGAAGAAAAAGATCTAAACCTAGCCAAACGTCACACAAAACCAATTGTGCAATAACCCGAAAGAACGTGTATATCACCGTGGGATTCGAATATTTACCTCGTTCTATCAAGATCTGGAAGTATCAATCGATCCAGGGCCTGTTTTAATCACCTAGAGTTGAAATCACAACTCCTCTACACGTATCCACACCGGGGGATGAATTCCAACACTTTGGAACGTATCTGGTAGGATTTGTGAAGAGAAAACGACGTTCTAGACTTGGAATCGATATTCCGGTGTTTAGAATTCAAGAGAAAACTTCTCAAAGCTCTAGGAAGTGTCTAGGACGTCTGGGGATGATTGCCTAGAGTTTGTGGCGGCTCCCTTAATTAATTAGGATTGCCCAAAACCCTAAAACGCGAAAAAGGAAATTGTCCCATAAGTCGGACCGTCCGATCTAGGTCTGGACCAGACGGCCTGGCTTCTACGCAGATTGGACGGTCCGTAACTCTACGCAGAATGGACGGTCTGCACGCCTGGACCGTCCGGTCCAGGTCTGGACCGGACGGTCTGGTGCTTGCGGAACGGTCGGTCCATTCTTCAGCGGAACGGACGGACTGACATGGTTGGACCGTCTGGAACCCTTCCAGCTCGTTCCGTCGTTCCTTTCTCACGTCGTTCTCTTCATGTGTGATCCATCCCTAATGGTGTGTGACCCTGTAGGCCATTCGAAGTGGTAGTGGCTTCGGAAACCCTTTCCCGAACCACAAGTCATGGTTAGCCTCTAGCAAGACGTCATGACCACCCACCTAGAATAGAGTTAGAGGTGATCTAACAAAGCCAGCCATAGTTCGAGTTCTGATCCTTTGTCTCACAATATCGTATGTTGAACAAGGGTATGGTATGAGCCACCCTTCAAGTTCAACCACTTACTCGTCTAGGCAAATCGACTGATAAAATAGATGTACCTTCATCTATAGCGTGGCCACGCATTTTTCACAGTCCGATTTCTACGAGGGACCCAACAACATCTCTCCTGCGCAGGAGGTGACAAGTCTCGTATTGCATATCTACTATCTGCATATGATTCGTGAACGTATCTGAGCAACGTCATTATGATCATCCGGTTAAAGACGACGTTTGACGCAGTCAAGATACGCCACTCCTCATATCAGATACTCTAGACATCTCAGGTCTGAGGATCCAAGAACGAACCACTGTATGAGATTCAAGTCATGACTCATTTCCATGTGACAATCTCATGCGAGTCATCCAGTAACTCGTTCTAAACGAGAACCCATGATTGTGATTAGCATCCAATGCATATGATCATCATCATCTATCATACATCATACTGGTCTTAATTCATCATTGTTCTCATAATGACAACTGACCAGGGAGTTTAGAATCATGTGCAATGATTCAAGGATATCTACCGTAATATAACAAACATGCCAATCATATAACGGGAAAAGTAATGCACTCATAAACCAATGAATCAGTACATAGTCAAAATGTCATATAACGGATCATCGTAGAGCATTACAACCAACAGATACATCACGGGTCATGGAAAGCATTTGTCAACCGATGACATGAGTTTTTCGTTCGTCAACTGTAGAATAGATGAGACGAGAAAAGTTCTGCTCGGTTGGGCATGAAGATTGTACTCAATTGTCGTCTTCTCGAAAACTTACATATCTGCAATCGTTTTTTCAGATGGATGGAACAATTGGGACGACCCTTCTCGAGACATGTTAGCGAATGAACATTTTCGATATCGAGTTCCGAAAATTTCATTATGAGTAGTATGATCGGGATATCGGTTTTTGCATGACAGTATTTTCCAAGAAATACGAAAGCTATGGATCAATGGGGAATCACAGTGGGATGATTCCATATGTAAAGCAAATCATGGAATTTGAAAAAACAGTCTACATGAAACAACATTAATATAAATTTTCTATTTTCTCATCTCATCCCTAAAATTACCATAATAAGCATGTGAAGTTTTCTTTTAGAATTTCAATATTTTATTTATAAAAATAAGTATTGCTATTTTTTATGATGAGAGCAAAAATCATCTCTTCCTAATAAGGTGGAAATAAATAAATATATTCCATTTTAATTTTACGATGTTTGTACGGATAGTGTGATCAATTTTTCAATTTAAATAATCCTTCATATATATCATATAATCTATTTGTTTCAAAATTCCTTAGCAATATGACTAAATTTATAAAGCTATTTTTTTTCCTGAAAATTGTAATTGAATTTCGTTTCATTTCTAAAGCTATTTCCATTTTTAAACAAAGATTAAAAGGGTACAAAAGTAATCATTCTTTTTAGGCGGACCTAAAATTTTGACTGTATTTAAGAGTCATGTCAATGAATACTTAAGTTTTGGGGTTTATCTACGGGTTTCTAGTCTATAATTTCATCCAACACATTATAGGATCGGTTATAATAAAATAAGAAACCATCACAAAAAACCAATCACGAAATCCGATGAACATGTGTATCATCCGTGGAATCGAATACTTACCTCGAATTCAATGGAGCTTTAAATAGAACGATTCAGGGCCTATATCAAATCACATAGAGTAGAAAAACATCTTTTTACACGTATCGACATATGCGAAAAGGATTTCGAACACTTTAAAACTGATCTTTAGGATTTGTGAAGGAATTAGGATCTCAAAAACTCGGGATCAAATTACGGGAACTAGAATGGAAGAAGAACAATTTATGCTTACTTTGTAGGATCTGTCTAAGAGTTCTGAAGATATATTGTGTGCTTGGGTAGTGTTCTCCAAACCTAAAAAGAAAATTTTCCCTGAAGTTTGGACTGGTGCAGTCTGAGCTCCAGTTTGGGTGGGGCTTGAACATTTTTCTAATCCAATTCAAACGCATGATTTCAGTCGATCTGGGTTTGGGATCGGTTTAGTTCTGATCCAGATCAATCCAAGTCGGATCGGTCCAACTCGAACTAAATTTTGTGTGTGTTGAAAGAGCAATTCAATATCACATTTCTCTTCTTTATATCTCAAAAACGTATTTGAAATCTTATTTGCTCGTTTAGGGACAGAATAACGTTTTCGAAAAGTAATATCACGCCGAAAAAAGTTATCCGATTTCCAATTCTTGTTTTCATTTTCTTTCAACATAGACTGAATATTCGTGATTGGAAGTCCAATACTTGCGAAGATCTGTATCGGTATGAATAAGATTTTTAAATATAAAAATAATCATAATATTTAGTAATATTATACACCATTTGATACAAAAATATATTTAAAGTCTTAAAAATCATACATTTTCGAATATTTATAGATTTTTAGAATTTTTTTCAAACATATATATATTAATTTCTGAAGTTAAAACATAGGTATTTTGGTCAACCCGTGGGTCGTGGGTTTAAACTCCCATTCCTAGCGGCACCATTCCGATTTTCACTTTTCAAAAAAAAAAACAAATAAATAAAATATTTTTTTCTTAAAATTTAAAAGAAAAGTGCAATCTTTATTTTTTTTATAATATTTGGTTCAGGTGGGTTTTAAAACCTTTTGGTGAGTAGCACCCTACACTCTTTATTAATATGGATGTATTAAACAAAGGTACGTGGGAGTTGTTTTTCTAGACTTTTATAAAATAAAAAAAATATTTACATTATTAAACACTTGAAAAATAACAATTTGTGACAAAAAAAAAAGTTAAAATGTCAGATTTATCGCATTGCCAAGAAAATTATGACAGTACGAATCGGTGAAAAAGTCATTTCCTGTAGGTCCATAAATAATTAAATAGCCATACGACGAAACTGTTTCCTTTCCAATAAAAATATATTCGTCATGTTCGAAACATATACATATTTGCACTTCTGGAAAACCCGAAATTCTTAAAATTCTGTTTTTCAATATTGATTATAAAATATTGATTTTAATATATATAATTTTTTAAAAATATCATATACTAAGTTACTAATTGTTGGTGATGGATGAAACTTCTTCTCTCTCCTAGGTCGTTCTCTCTCACGAGCGACCCAACCCCAGTCAGCATTCCGCCGTACGGTCGGCCCCCGCCGGCCGTATCGCCACCAAAAATCCCATCTGACCGGTCACTGCCGGTCGGAATCCCCCGCCGGACCACTTCCGGTTGGGTAAATCACCGAAACCCCAGCAAATTTTTCTCCCCAACATGCCGGCGAGGCTGAGGTCCTCCTCCGCCCCTCCATCTCCGGGTATTCTAGGGCGGGAACCCCCTCTTGCTCCCTCCTCTCCCCCGGCCTGGGATGATTCCATATGTAAAGCA